CCCTGCTGTGGGTCGGGGAGGAGCGGGGGGGGGCTCGGTAGAGCCTCTGCCCTGCCCGCCTCCTCGCCGGGGGGGCACGCAGAGCGGGCGGCCGCCTCAGCGCCATTGCCGCGGCCTAGCTGTCTTTGCGGGATGTTCGCTGTCTCCGCAGTAACGAAGGGCTCTGCCGCTTTTGAAGTGGGAGGAGAACGGTCAGGGTGGGCGCCTCACCATACTCCCAGTGCAGCAGGTATAGTTAGTGGGCTGATGCATTTCTGCCCATTAGCCGTTACTAGATGTTAACAAGACCAAAAAAAAGGTGCATTCTCTAATGCTGACAGGGTTGCACTCACGTTACTTTTGTTTGGTTGTTTATTTTTTTTTTCTTTTTTTTTCTTAAACCTGTGGTGACATCGTGGTTCCAAAGACAATGAAATCAGTTGAATTGCAAAACTCCAGTTAATCCCCAGGCGACACCTCTGCTGCCAGTGTTTTGTTTGCAATCCTTGAGAAATGAATGTCAAAAAAAAAGTTACTGAGTGTACCTTTGGTTTCCATGAGTTAACTTGTTAATTGCCTGGGTTTGCACTTAACATTTTGCATTCTTACTTGTTTAATAGGTAAGTCCACACTGTAAAGACCTACACAATTAAATTAGAAAACTGACTGATTATTCAAGAAAGTATGACTCATTAGTGTCTGAACAAAGCTAAACTCAAAGGCAAAAAATTTCAATTTCCCCTCTTGTGCTTTCAGGGTTTTTTAATGATAAAGAACATTGGAAAGACAACTGTATAAAACTTGGAAGCTAAACTTTGCACCTGCCCAGCAATTGTATTAGACATCACCTGGAAATTCCGGGTACTATAGGCATAAAGCAGGGAATCAAGACAAATAAAAACCAGAATTTAATCAAATAAAAGACTTCCTTTGATGTCTTTGCTATTGAACTTGTCAATGGGAAAAGAGGAAGTTTCGATCTGAATGTTACAGTGCAACTTACTGATTGACAGGTGTAATTTGGACTGTTGCTCTTTAATACAAACTACAAGCAGCGACTCAAAGAACCTTCCTATTCAGAGAACGCCATCAACAGAGGCACACAGGAGGGAGCAAGACAGTTGAAGAAATTGAATTTATCTGTTTAGAAGAAACACTTCGGCTGAATTTACGGGATGGAACTGAGAGTCGCGATGAGTGCAGAAAACCTCACCCTGCCGTGTCTGGAGAAGAGGAACAAGGGTCCGTGACGTTCCCCTGCTGGTGTCCACCAGAGGGGGACCGGCCCCCACAGTTCTCCCGGCTCCTGCTCAAGAAAGCTATTTGGCAGCTGAATAGCAGCAGCGTTTCTTTATTTCTTCTCTTGCCTGCTGATGTTTCCCATGATAAAGGGAACTCCGATTATTAAAATCCTGCGTGACGACTTAGCTCCTAAGGTTTTCAGTTTCTGTTTGAAGTGTAGGAGAGATTAAATGGTCTTTGGTTCATGTGTCTTCTCCTTGCCAAACTCAGTTGTTGCACAGTAAGTTGTACTCTGTCCTACATAGTTATAGCTGAAAATGCTGTGTTCTTTTCTAACTTGCTGTGAAACATTGCCCCAGTGTATTAGACTTGGCCATGATAATCTTGGGGCTTGATTACTATAATGGAATGCATGTAGAAGTAAAACGTTTAGTCTGAAAAAGTTCAAATTAATTCAAAATGTGGCTGACTGCCTACTAAGTTTCCCAGGCTGTAATATCTCTCCTTGCAGTTCAGTGTAATAAAAAGGGCAGATCATCACCATAGTGAAATTGAAAACTGAGTTTCAGTACTCTCTTGCTGTTTCAGCAGGCTCGTTTTCTTCTTCTAGATGAGGAACCAACTGTACTATCAGCATGCCAAAAGCTGCCCATATTTTCTCTCAGGCACTGTTTGCAGTCCTGAGGGATATGGGTCAGGCAAAGAGTAAAGTCAAGACCCTGAATTTTAGGAAAGCAAACTTAGCTGTGCAAGGAGTTAGTCAGTAGGACTGCCTGGGAAACTGCCTTCAGGGACAAAGAAGCAGAACAGAGGTGGTAGATCCTTAAGGACGCTTTCCATGGAGTGCAAGAGCTCTTGATCCCCAGGTGTAAGAAATCAGGAAAGGAAGGCAAGAGATGGGCATGGCTGAGTCGAGACCTGCTGGTCAAACTAGAGGGCAAGAAGGAAATGCACAGGCAGTGGAAGCAGGGACAGGTATCCTGGGAAGAGTACAGGGACACTGCCAGCTTAGGCAGGGATGTGGTCAGGGAGGTCAAGGCACAGCTGGAGCTGAACTTGACAAGGGATGCAAAGAATAGTAACAAGGGCCTCTACAGGTATATCAGCCAGAAAAGAAACATCAAAGAAAGCATACTCCCCCATGATCAACACAGCTAGCAAACTGGTTACAGTGGACAAGGAGAAGGCTCTGGGAAGACCTTACTTCAGCCTTTCAGTACATAAAGGGGGTTTATAAGAAAAATGGGGACAAATATTTTAGCAGAGCCTGTTGCAATAGGACAAGGGGTAATGTTTTTAAACTAAAAGAGGGTAGACTTAGACTAGATACAAGGAAGACATTTTTAACAATGAGGGTAGTGAAACACTGATACAGGTTGCCCAGAGATGGTGGTAGATGCCCCATCCCTGGAAACATTCAAGGTGAGGTTGGAGGGGGCTTTGAGCAACCTGATCTAGTTGAAGATGTCCCTGCTCAGTGCAGAGAGAGGTTGGACTAGATGACCTTTAAAGGTTCCTTCCAACCAAAATTATTCTATCATTCTATGATTCAGGTTCTAGTCACGCAAACAAGCGTCATCTCAACCACAGTTATTTACTTATGTAAGGGAAATGTGTTTTAAATTTAAAAAAAGACTTATGAGTAGTACATTTTTTGTGTGTTTCTGTAGTGCTTTATTCCAGGCTGCTTTTCTCCTACAGCAGTAATTGACAGATCTCTCTTCTGGTTCTTACAGATTACAGAAGGATACCATTTGAAGGCCTTGATTTGCCTTCCAGATGGGAACCTGGACAGTCCCAAAGCAAGTAAGATGGGAATACAGTGTCACACTCTTGTCTCTTTCACATGCCCAGGCTTGTGGAAGTGGGTGCCTCTTAGCACAGATCTAATTTTTATGCAGTTAAGGTAATACCTGTTTGTGTCATGAGGTATGCACATATATGGGAATACATATATATATTCATCACTTCTAGATAGTTCTGGTTTTTAAGGTTAAATCGTTACATGTTGGATTTCAAAGGTGTGTTAAGTGAATGCTGAACTTTCATTAGAACCTCTCAAAATCCTCCGATGGTGGTATTTGAATCCTAAACTTTTGGCTATACTGTCCATTGTGTCTACTGGCTGCTCACTCTTAATTCATATATCTCAGAATATGAATGTTAATAGCAAGCTTATAAATAATTGTTATATATTGGCAATGCCTGTTTTGGGAGAGTTATTGTCTGTTAGATGCAAGTCCCCTTACACTGTACAGCTGGGTACACCTAACCTCTTATCAGGGTTTGTGAATTCTACAGCCTCTCATTTAAGATTCCCACCTAACTGGGTGAAAATGAGCAGCAGTCATTATAAGAAGGATGCCATTCATCAGGATGTTTTGTATCTTGCATTTTCCTGTTTGGTGGGCCACAGATTTATAGATGAGTAATGTATAACTAAAGTGGAGACTGCTGGCAGGAAATCAGAGATTTTAGCAATAATTAGAGGAAAGCTGAAGGGTTGATATCCGCGGAGGGTCAAGAGGTGGTTTGGAGAGCATGTGTGGAAACTCCAGCTAATGTTCATATCCCCTTAAGGAAAGCAGTTAACAAGGACCCCTAGCAGAACTTATGAAAAGCAGGACCTTTAGATCTCAGACTGAAAAGCCTTTCTTAGAAAGGGAGAACTTATTCATCACACTATATTTCAACCTGTCTGTAAATTCAGGAATGCATTTCTACATCATTACTATTGAAGGGCTTGCTTACAAATAAAGCACACTGATCAAGTCACATTGCTACATCTCAGACTCCTACTTAAAACCATATTTCTAGGGACAAGTTGCAAGACCAGTATTCCTATATGTGGTTCACTGCTGTTTCAACATATTGTTCATGCTCCTTTACCAAACCTGGGTGAACGTCTGAAACACTGGACCTATGTAGAACCCCATATCAGGCCACAGGAAGGGAATCTAAAGTAATACTCAAGTTACAAAGCTGTTCAGCACTGTATATTTAAAATAGGGACCCATTCAGCTTTGTATACAATAACAGTTGTCACGGGGTTATTACTTTTGCACCTCCTCAAACTCAGAGAAAAGAAAGTCCTCAGACTCAGAGAAAAGAATTAGCTTTTGTACAGACTGAAGTTGAAGTTAAAAACTGAAATAAGAGTTTAATTTTCTGTCATGATGCTGAAATTGTTACATCCTTCAAAGAAGTGCCAATCTAAATAGTGAGCTAAATTAAATGAAGGAATACTTTTTATAGCCAGAAGACAGGAGCTTGTAAGAACTACAACTATTTGTTGCCTGTTGTGCACACACTTTCCCACCATGAAGCAATCAAGCCCTGGACCCTGATGTCCACAACTTATCAATTATCATTCTTTGTATGGTGAAAACTAACCAGTGCCTAGAAAGGAAAGCATTACAGATCCTAAAACAACCCACAAACCCAAAAGTCAGTAAAATTCAAAATTTTCTTGGCTGCTTTCCTAGGTCTAGGAAAACAAACTGGCATTTTCTACATGCTCTTCTTCACAAAAGTATAACTGCAGCAAGAACTTTTATTATTTATTACATTTTGGCATCTTCCAGTTTGACATTTGCATTTAGTTCTGAATACATCAAAGTGTTAGCTGTCTACGGTGGTGATTTCTTTCTCCTCTTCACAGGTCTCCTCAGAGGTGGAAGATTTCTTTCTACAGACAAGGTTCCCCAAAGTGACTGGCTACATTTACATTCAGTGGACTTTGCATTAGGTTTTCAGGCCTCTTTTTAAAGAAATATTTTGGTAATACCCCATAGACAATTTCAATACCTGACTCAGGCCACAGCAAAGTAACAATAGGTGCTTCACTCTGTTCCCCCTCCTTTACTGCTTGTTCCTGCCACTCTTAACTGTTTCTATATTTAAATCTGTTTGTCTCACAGACAGTAGTTCAATTCTTTGAGTTGAGATGCAGTACAAACATCTAGTGTAAAGTGTAAAGTGGTGATTTCCAGGCTAAGCTAAGGTGCCTATACAAACTGTGTAAGTGAACTTGGCTTCAAAGCATAAATAAACGTGTCTGAAGGTTCTTCTGTATGCATACTGGAATGTGCGTTAGGGTTGGGTGGTAACATTTGTCAGAATACAAGTTAAAGTTGCTACATAGCCATACTCTGAAATTTTTGTGGGAAGTTTCTAACACTAGAAGTCCATGAAAATCTGCTTAGTTTCAGTTCTGCTATTGTATTTGGCCATGCAACACCAGCAATGGGTATAACAAAAAGCTTACAGTCTCAGACAGAAGCATCCCATGGGTAAGAACATTTTTGACCATAATTCACCATGCAAATTACACCACTGCAGACGTAAGACTAAGAGATCAAGCTTCAAGCGTGTTAAAGGTATCAGGGAGCTATTTTTTGCGGAAATTGGTGACATCTTGACTTTTACCTGTAGCTAGCGGGTCTCTTACTTTCGTTCTATGTTTTCCCTCTCCCATCTGTATAGTACTACCTACTGAATGTGTAACTCATCACAAATCCAGGCAACTCCCAAAATATATCACTATGAAATTCAACCAGCACAAAGTTCCCAGTGGAAGTAAAGTCTGCAACCTTCTCTGTCCCACAATAAGGGCCAACTGCAGGTGATGTAGGTCGGCTTCCATCATGTATGAGCAAGTAGTCATAGCTGCATCTGTCACTATTTTCCAGCTCAAAGAATAACATTTTGAGAGATATCTGGAGAAAATACAACCAAAGGACTTTGCTTCCAGGTTATGTCCTTTTCTCTTACCCCTTGTATCTAACAAGCCCAAATAGTTTAAATTCCTTATGTGCAGGCATCGTTATTTATTCTGTGATTGCACCACATCCTGATCCCATATTGTAATGCAAATTAGTAGCAAATTATTTGCTTATTCATCATCATTTGGATTGGAGGGAGAAGCAAGGGACAAGATTGATCTTGTGCGTTTTAAATTCTTTTCTCTAGAGAAATATAAAAACAGCACCTGTGCAATGTTTCCATTTTCTAGTGGGAACTCTTACCTAGGGATTATTCTGAACACCACCTACTGGTACAAACTAAATTCATATGAGTTCACACACACCTGTAAAGGTTTTCCCTTGCTGAACACCTCAGATACCAAGATCCAGCATAAGTTCTTAAACTGGATTTTTATGTTCAGATTTTTACTCTGAGAATGCCTGCTCAAAGAGTGATGTTACAGCTATTATTCTCCAAGGCAAAAAGAGATTCCATTAGAGAACACTGATGAAACCCTCAAATGAATTAATCTGAGCCTCACCTTGTATCCTACTGGAGAACTGATGACCCAGAAGCATGCTCGGTTATTTGGATATTTATTGGGGTAGTTTGGAGAGGTGATGACTCCATCTGAGTTTGTGAAAGTGTCTCCACAATTCACTGAGGAGTAAAGATGAAAAACAGAGAAAGGCATATTAAGAGTATTCTGGTAGTAGAAGTGAGCTTGCCTATACTCTATTGTATTCTGCATTCAAGCCAGGAAAAAAAAAAAAAAAAGTGCTACCATGAAAGTCTACTGCTGAAATATTTTATTTCTTTGCTTAGTATTTGTATCAGCAGCTGTACTGAAGGAACTAAAAACATGGCTGCTAAATAACCTTTGGAGGACAGGAAACAGCTGCATCTAGAGCTGTATCTGTCTTTACAATTGAGTGTTACCATATTAGCATTCTAATGGTACTAACACTGCCCTTTCAGAAAAGAATTAGCTTAAATATTCAAGATTCCACTATCAAGGTAGTTCTAATGCTATCTGGAAATTACTCCATAAACTAATGCGAAGAGTAAAAAGGACACATTTCTAAGACTTCTTCAATTTCTGCATTATAAAAGTTTGCATTTTGAATTGAAATAAGACTATAACAAGTTATTTGGGCTACTAATGCCCAGTGCCTTCTAACTGAAAGCATATTGCAGTGCAACAGAATTTTATCCAGCAGTCCATAATGCATTTGTACGTTTGTAAAACAGACAGCTCTCAAGTGACTACAGTAAGCACTGTGTTTCATGTAACATAATAAAAACCTTGAATTCAGAAAGTGTAAATTACCCAAGTTTAGTACCTCTCCCATTGCATAAAAAGCCACAAAACCTTGAATAACATATTGCCCAGATACTGGCTTTACATCTCATTGTTTGAGATTTCTTGTTGAGTTCTGCAGTCTTTGTGCTCTTTGGCTGCACTGCTCCTATTAGTTACAGTCATTGCATTGTTTTTATTTAAAGAAATTGTTCTAAAGATGTGAAAAAGCCTAGCAGAGGGAATCAGAAGAATGTACGTGGTTCTTGGGATTACTAACATGAGACCCATGCAACATGACATTTTCTGTGTCCTGCTAACCTTCAGCCCCATCATTGCCAAGCCTTCTGCATTAGCAATTGCTATGGAAGTGTAAATAAGAACACAGGAAAAAAAAACACTCTGGAGTTCAAAATTTTCAGTTCTTCCATACAAACACTATTAATGCTGTTCCTCAAGTTCTGTAAAGGACTGTTCATACCCCTGTTGTAGGAGGCTCTGAATCCTGTGGCTGTAATGCTTTCATCACTTGCAAACTCTACCAGCATTGTTGATCCAGATGCCACTAAGGAGGGCAGCGGCCCCTTCCCACAGTATTTGTCCAGCAAGACAGGAGAATTCTTGCTGTTTCCATTGTAAATTTTTATATAGTCAGAAGAACAGCCTGAGGAGGGTTGGAGATCAAAAGCCTCAAACTGTAGGAAAATCTTGAGAAACAAGAAAACAGTTGTTGTATTTAGTGTTATACACAGGGAAAGATTCAAACTATCTAATTATGATGAAGTGAACTAGGACTTCATATTCATTTTACTATCTATGTATCACTGAAATTTTACTTTCTGTATAAAAAGACCATAGAATTTCATCTAAATACCCTGTTATTGAGCCCAGTGATTGATGTTTGACTATTGCTTGTCTCTGAAAAACCATCCAATATTAACCAGATAAAAATCAAGTTAAATAATGCATCCGATAGTTTTAATAAGTCTTATGAAAATTGTTGAGACTGTCTTTTCATTCACTGTGTAACAAAATAAATGTCTTAGTCCATGAAAACGACTCCCAGAGGGTAGTCATATTAATGAAATAATGCTGTGTAGCCTTGACACTGTGGTTCAAACATATTTTCTCCTGATAAAAATTACCTTACTTTGACGGATGCGGATCAGCCACAGGCAGCTGCTATTGTTCGGGTATGGGGATGGGTAATTGACAGAGGAGAACGAGCCTTTGGATTTAGGCAACACATAGCTACAGCAATCTGAAGGGAAGAACCAAACAGTGTTGAAGAGAACGAAAACTGCACAAAAATCTTCCCGAAACACCTGACAAGTCTCTCCAACCATTTACATTAGTCAAGCTTGTAAAAGAGAAAGGAATTATAATGCTTACAATTGTGTTGATGGCCCTAGTATAAAAGTTATTCAAAACCTGTGAATGAAATAACACTAGTTAAGGTACTTCACTGCTTCAGCTACTAATGTTTTTTAAAGACAGTAGGGCTTCACTCACATATTTTAAAAGGCCTTAAAAAAGGCCTGGATCTTTCATGAACTTCCTTAACCTCAATCACAGGAGTAGTTTCAATGACATCAGTACATCAATTCCCATCAGCAAATCTGTGAGTAGTCATAAGTATATGCAAAAATCGAGCTAGAAAACTAGATTCTGTCTAAAAGCAAAAAGGGGTAGTCACTGGGGGAAAAACAATGAGAGAGCATTGAAGTCAAGCTACAGACCTAGGGACTGGTATACAAAGGCTGATCTCATCTGCTTTCGTCTTTCCACATGTAGTCTTCATTTATTGCACTATATGTAACTCCTCCAATTACAAAATATGAATACGTAACACCTGAACATAGGACTTTATGACATTTTTCTTTTGCTCTCTACTTTCCCTGAGACAACCGGACTTTTTGTCCTTTTCTTTTCAAGCCCTTTTTAAAAAAAAATTAAAATTTTCTCATTTTTTAAAAATTTAGCTATTTTTTCCCAAAACATACAGATCTAATTATGAAATTATATAATAAAGGCAGTGATTTCTTCCCAGCCCCACAATCAAGAATAAATATCATTAAATACTTGTTATCGCTATCTTTGAGACCATGACAGACACTTAAATTGTAAACTAGTCTTATCTGAAGTTAAGAACTGGGGAGGAACCACTCTGGTTAATGATTTCTGTACCTAACTAGCCAGCTGAAGGAATGCTGATTCCCACTAGTAACTGATGGTTATTTAAGTACTAACACAGTTCAGAGCAGAATGTGGTACACTAATATTTAGGCCGTGTTAACGTTTCTTGCTCGTTTTGTGGAAACTAATTGAATAACATCTCAGCAAAGTCAAATACTGTATAAATCAATTAGCCTATGTACTGGGAGTTGAGGCAAAACTTGTGCATTGCAGGAGCACGTCTGGTGTTTTACCTGTGTTTTGTGCATTCATCTGAAGAGTTCCTGCTACAGAGGAATGCTAGGTATTTCTAGACCTTAATTTGCCACAGGGACGAGTTAAGAAATGGACCAGGCAAGGAAGTAGATAACTATACAAAAGGCCTGAGGAATTCTCCTCAAAGAGATGTTCTAATCAGCCTAAGTGGTACCCATACTTACAGACCTGTAGTAAATTCCTAACTGAAAGAAATCACACACTTGCTGGCACTGCTGATGCACACGACTAAGCTATAATCATGGCTGAGGATAGCTTACATGCTTTGCAACCTTCAGAGATTTCCTGAAATGTGAAGTTGACAGAGATAGCAACCATGATTTCTCTGATGGATATTGCTTATGTCAAACAGCAGGGACTATGTAAGGATAACTCAGAATGACAGTGAATTAGTGAAAGTAAATTGTCCTTTTTAAGGCAGCAGCTTGGCACAAGGACAGTTCTGTTTCTACACGCATACCAGCCCTTTCATAGGGCGAGGGAGAGATGTATTGAAAGGACTGTGGGCTTAATTCCTTTGGGGGATGTCTGACAGTGCCTACAGACATCAGCTGTATAAGGATTCACATGCCTTTTATCTACAGCACTTACTGCACTTGTAGAGCTTGTTGATTTTAGCTACATCCAAGTTACTCAGACCTTCTCTCTGCCCAATGGGTATAGAGGGGTCAGGAACTGGTACAATAGTTGCTTTCCCTGGAGTGCTGGAGAAATCATACCTGTAGAAATAAGGGAATCACATTTCTAGATTGCTTCTCTTAAACAGTGAAGTTATCTAAATGCATAATCATATTCATGTACCACATGCAAAGAATTTCAGTGGAAAAGGGCAAGAAGCTTCTTAGACACCAGTTAGTCTTCCCTGAAGAGGACCATCATTTCAGCCATTTTGTGTGCAGCAGCTAAAAGCAAGAAACAAGAAAAAGATGCACTGTCCTGAGTGAGGAGGGCTTTCGCCAATGACCTGGCAAATGAACTGAATTCCCACCTTCATGGTTCCAGAGGCAGAGGAGCAGGAGTCGTTCTGTCTCAGTTAGTAATTGTTCATTTACTAACTGCAAGTTCCTGCCTCCTACTAGACAAGTTTCATTTCACAGTTTTGTTCAGAAGTTATTACTTGCTAGTAGAAATAAAGAAGGTACATGCTACAAGCTTGTACATTATGGACTGAAGTGCAGCCTTAGTGTTCCTGCCTCATATTCCCAGGTGAATATGAGGCAGGACAACATCTTAATGATATAAAAGAATTCATTTTTTTTTTCTCTCTGTACCTAAATATTGTTGTCTATGATCAGCTGTTACTACGTTAATGAAATCATTTAGACTTCAGAACTGGTTTAGATCAGTGACCCAGTAGAGTTAGACGTTGGACCATAGCCATGTCAAAGGCCTCTAGCAAGAGACAGGAGTACAGTGAAAGAAAAAGTCCTAATTTTTTCTTCTATCTATATTAACTCTGTTTTTCAGGAATCCTGCGGACGAAGGAAGTATGCTCACCCTTAATTCTGTCCATTCACTCACTTTTAAGTGGACTGCAAAAGTCATGCCCTGCACAGAGCAATTCCATCTTCCTAGGTCTGAGTAGATCTGAAAGCTGTTTGCTCCTTTGAAAAGACATCTCAGAAAACAACTTACGCGCCATAGTGCATTACTGAAGAGTAGTCATAGGGAAGGCCCAGATTTTTGGAATTCATTTTTCCAAAGTTTCCTTGTTCCCCTGTAAGGTAGGAAAGCAACATTTCAGACAGAACAATTATTGCTGCTTTAATAGACACTGCCTGCTGTCATAATCCTAAGAGTAATTTCTGTTATGATTCCTTGTTATCATGATATCTTCAATCTATCGAAACCACCAGAGCCTTTTGAAGTCCATGGGAACCCATTTTCACTCAGTCTAGTAGGTTTCAGAATATAAACTGAGTCAAATAAGTCAAAGTTTTGATATAATCAATGAATCCAATCCACTTTTAAGTAAAGGTGTTCATCTTCATTGGGGTGCCTCCAAGTATATTTCAGTGCATTATCTTGAAGATTATAAGCATCCAACCTACGTCCCCAGAGCTGCATCCATACCTTGAGAGGGAAATCTGTCTGACCACCTAGATCAAAAATTCATAGGTATGGGTGGGTGACCACCAACCGGTCTTGCTGAGTCCTTCCACCATAGGGTTATAAGACCAGAAAAGAAGGGGATACAGTTTGCCTGTTACTTGCCCCAAAGGACGTGTCATCAGCTGTATTCTGGCTTTGTCTCTGGTCAGACCCATCAGCACTGAAGTGATATGACTCACATGATGCAAGAGGAATCAGTAAGATCAGCTAAAAACATTCTGAGTACAGCTGCTGATACAGCACCACTCATCACAGCTGCTGAGCATCTCATCACTTTTCATCTGTTTAGCCTTAAAAAGCCCATATGAGGTAAGGAAGCATTATGCTGATACAGGACTGGGGCCCAGAGACACAGAATGGAATTCATGTCACCTAGCTTTATTTCTCGAAGTTAGGCACTGAAGTTATTCATCAAAGCTACCAGGATAGTCAGAGGAGAGGGAGAGAAAGAGACACAGTTGGAGGGAGTTTCATCTGAAGGCAACTATTTCTCTCCATTGGTTGGAGAGCATGAATTCAAATTGCACCCTGGGTCTCTTGTCCATGGTAAGACAGGCAAGCAGGCAATGTCAGAGCAGGGAGCTGAATACAGTCAGCCTGGCCTCAAAGCTAATGCCCTAACCACTGAGCACTCCTTTCCAGTTCAACATCTGTACCTTCATGATTGTAACTAGTGGTTTGTATACCACAAACCATCTGGACAAGAGATCAGGGTTGGACACTTGTCAGAAAAATCTCTGGAGCCCACACAACTTGGCTGGCAGGCTTGCAATCAGAGCCAGTCTCTTCCAGTAATGTCCTTCAGCACTGGTCCCAATGAGGGCTAGGAAATGCAAAGAGAAGCTTCAAAATCCTGAATTATAGAAAGTTTGGGGTCATGCTTGGGGAGCTTTTCATAGTTCAAAAACTCGGTTAAGGCTCAAACTGGTTCTCAACAGCATTGGCTTTCCTGATTCTTAGGTTTTTATCTCAGTTCCTCTTATCTGCTATACGGACTTGAGAAAGAATTATCAGCAAGTGCACAGCTTCTTTTGAGGTGATGAACAGAGAACACAGTTCAAATGCTGTGAAACATTTAAGCATATGGCTACTGTTTGGCACGTGAGTGCTTTGTTGAATTGGTTTGCTAAAAAAAGTAACAGCAGCCTGGCTGGACAGAGGCACTGCCAGCAAACTATAATAGTATCTGCCTCATCACGTGCCAGAAAGATTTGGCTGTCTAGACCTGCACATGTGTGGGGACTTAACCCATCTTTTCCACTCTAAAAAGACTACTGCTGCCAAAATTTAAGTGTAATGACTCAGAAAAGCTGAAAAGGGAAGCTTTGGCTGAAGTCTCTGAATAGTTTTTGGCTTTGGCTGAGGACTCGGAAAGTTTTTTCCCCCAAAAGTTTGGGAAAAACAAGCCGAATTTCAAGTAGCTAAGTGGACAGCAACCGATCAGGCAGCATTTTGTTGAAACAAAGAAGTAGGATGGCTTCCAAGGTGAATTGCTGGGTAAAAACAAAACGCAGCAAACATCCACAGTACTGCAGTGTTGGCAAAAGAAAAACATCATGTGTGGGAGAGCCAGGAAGCTGCAAAAGGTCTTGAGGTCTAGTTCTGCACCACTGAGGTCAGTGGGAGCTCTGCCATCAGCACTGTAAACAGCAGCATGTTTTTACAGGAGATCTATGCTAACAAGTCCTCAGGAACATAGCTGTGTTTCTTCATTTCCTTCTCCCTGTATATCTTTGCATTTTTTTCCCTACAGTGCTTGTGCTGCACACACACTGCAATCTAACTCCCTTGTCACGCCAATCTTCTCAGCCGCCACTCCTGGTGAATACTGTTAAAACACTGAATATTAACCAACCCCATCTCCTTTTGCATAGTCTTCAGCTCTTCTCCCTCTTTTATCCTTTCATGATGCTGTGCCTGAATCAGAGCTTGGTTAAATCCGTATCCTTTAGGAATGATGATATCTGAACCCGTGGACTTCCCCCTGCAAAACTAGTGTAAGAGTTTATGTGTCTCTAGTATCTTTGGTGTAACTTCATGTTTGCAACTCCTCTCCCCTAGCACATGCTTTGCTAGCATTTCAAACATGGTACACCCTTGTTGTACAATGGCAAACAAATCGTAGCAAAATTACACTGTAACGCTAGAGCTGAAGCCTCGGTAAGGAACAGCACAAATGGAATTTACTTAAGATATCAAGGGAATAGCCAAAAAAAGTTTGGAGAACAGTGTGTTAGGAATTTGCAATAAAAACAATCAAGCTCCATCTGGAGAAAAAGATGTATTTTCAGCTGTGCATGACATTGAAGAATTGAATATCTTATTTGTTGAAGAGACTTATTAGAATTTGATATTCAGTTGTCCAGCCTCATTTATTATTATTTTCTATAATGAACTAAGTACACTATTATCTTTCTACAATTGTGTGTTGTCCAGCTCTCTCATAGCTGTCAAACAAGTGATTCCTTGCATCATTTCTTCCCCTGCTTTCCTTCTAGGTATGACTTTCTTCCTTTCCCTGGGAAAAAGGAGGTTGCCTCCTACCACTCTCTCTCCTCTCCCCTCCCCTCCCCAGAGCCCGGAGTTCTGTATAGGCTCCCGTGTTCCCAGCACGCAGATCAAGGGCGTGTGCACAAGCTATTCCTTCTGCATTCCTTTCCCTAGATAACATTCACCTGTTTTCCCCTTACATATTTACCAGTCCTGATTGCTCCCCGTTGCTCCTTCTTTTCATGGCAGTGTATATTAGTCTTTCCTCAAGGAGAAAATAATTGCAGTCCTTCCTCTCACAACATGCCAGGTCCCAGGATTTTGCACATGCTAGTGGTTGCATGTGCTTCCATTCTCTCTGCATGGAGTCCCTTGTTCATCTACATTTCAGGCTATGTGCACTGCACTCACTGCCAGTGCCAAGAGGCCTACCTGCTGCCTTCTCTGTTTCCATGGCTTTCCATGGAAAAGGAAAAGAGGTAGAGTTGCTGTGTGATTCCCTGCCACGATCCCTGAATATCATATTTCACCCCACCTCAGCTAAAAGTCCCACAGTCTTGCTTCCTGGCCAAGTCTTTTTCAACAACATTTTGCATTCCTGATGATGTTGGTATTTTGGATATAAGGTGAGTATGAGTTGAAGATGGCAATCAAAATAAGAAGGTAGAGCTACTTTTAGACTGCATCTGCCTTGGAGGACCACACTAATGTAGGTGTAGCCACAGAAATTGCCCTAGTACAAACACCGAATGAGAAATGCCATCACATTGAATGTGATGCTGCTGCAATTCAGCCAGCATTAATCAGGATTCTTATTTGCATGGCTGTTCACAGAAGAAACATTCTCCTTTATCTATGTTTTCTCTTAAGATTTAGTGAACATACCTGCCACAATGTGTTCCCACATTATCTTGACAAACCTGTCCCGATCACTCCGTGCCTGTTCATGGATGAAACCCAGTGCATGGTTCATTTCATGCTGAATTGCTCCTTTATCCATGCAGCCATTTTTCACCAGGCCTACTGCTTGACGTCCTCCAATTTTTCCAAAGTAAGACCAGCAGCTAAGAATAGGCAATCAATAACTGAAATGATCACATTCAGCAAATACAAAGAAATAGATGTACTGATTATGCCACCAAGGCCTCCAGATGTGTAGCCACAGAAGAGAAGATGCAGATAGTCACTGGCATGGGATATCTAGGCTTCCAAAAGCTGCCAAACTCAACAGGGAGAGAAATAAAACCTTTGTGATGAGTATAGCAAATTTTAATAGAGTAAAATGGCTACATCAAACGAAGATGAAGCCGTTTAAGTAGTTAAGCAAAGAACCTGGAAACGATTATATTTCTTTAAATTTTTACAACAATTAAGGAAAACACATAATTTTGAATTATACCCTTTTATCTTTAAGTTCACACATACATTTATCCTTGCAGCCTATTAACTGATGTAACTACCAGTGTATCTAAAGAAAAATGAAAAATTGCACTTCCTGTCTGAATCTTGACTCCTAGGATAAAAAAGGGCAATTACTTAAATCCAGATGAAAACAGAAAAGAAGCTGTAAGACCTTTTGAGTGCTTCCACTCTAAGGAGACAGGGAGCTTACCTCTGTCCACGTTCAACATACACGTAGTCTGTTTCTGTAGTACGATTTACAAACTGCACACAGGTCAGCGTGGAGATCTCTTGCAGAGCATCAGCAATCCAAGACCTCTCTGTCTCTGCTAGAAAGAGAAAGGGGCCAGGAGAAATCTTCCTTGGTTAATCAAAACCAAGGTGCATTGATGTGGTGCATTCCTTTAAAACTTCACAGCACTCATTAGCTTTTTATCATACAAGTATAATAAAAAAGGGGCACAAAGCCTTCAGAGATCTTCAATTTGATTGGACTTTAAAGGGGAGATGTAGGAATTATAGCTGCCCCTTCATGCATATTCTACAGGAGACAGCTGACAGAAAGCAAAAGACTGGCATTGTTTCTTTCATTAAAATGGAAGAATGAAACAGTTTCCGATACAAATAATTGGATTAAAGTATCCCAAATGAGCCATCTGAGTGTAGCTAAACACCAAAAACCTATTTTGTTTATCAGAGATAACAGATGTCTGCTACACACCCCTTGGAGTCACTTGAGACAGCCAGTGTTCAGAGGCTCTGAAGAGCACAGTGTTTCTATTCAGGTACCAAATAAAGATCAGTGTTTATCTACTTTTGAACATTTTGGCCTAATTTGGCTTCCTCAGTTATGAATCATCTATAACTGATTTGCATCTCGATTTCCTCATCTTTAAAGTTTGCAGAGAGGGAGGTAGATAGAATAACCCTCACCTAACCACAACATATATGCTGCAGTTCAGGAAGCACATGGGCAGCCTAGGTAACACAAAGACTGGGCTTTCCTCAGCTCAAATGATAACACAGGTTCCCTTTCCCCAGGAATGGGAATCAGGCACAGCCTGTATTTCGCTTCCCTGCTGTTCTCTCAAGGTAAGACCTTTTAAGAAGTGTCTCTATGGAAGCCTCAGACCAGAAAAGCCTCAGCTGGAGGGAGATGGAACACCTTTCAGCCTTTATGAAGCCTTCTGGAGCAAAATTTTTGAGATTAAGGCATTGGTCCTGCAGCCTTTTGCATGGGGCAGAGCTATTGACTAACTAGGGGGAAATAATAAGGAAAAAAACATCTCCAAACTCGCTCCTTTTTAACCTCTATGGGATTTCTAGTGCCGGAATACTTCTATGTGAGATTTGAAGGAAAATTATAGTGTTCAAAGAAGTGTTCATGGTGGCAATTTTGACAAAAATACATTAATAATGTGAATGTGAACAAATCAGATTTCTTCTTCTATACTTGCTAAATTAGCTGGTATCTATACAACTACTAATGCCCAAGTAAATACATATTTCAGTGTCTGTAACTGAAATGTTAGGAGTCTTAGCAAATCTACCATTGGACTAACAGATTAGCAAAAGAGACATGTTAATAAATTCTCATTGGACAAAGACTGCTTTTGGTGCATGCCACAGAAACATAAAACAACAGAGTGTAGGAACCGGAAGATCAATGCTAACTTTGCATCATCCATTTGCATATACTCACAGAAATCAGAAGAGATGTTAACTGGAACCTTGACTAGTCCATCTTGTGACTTGGGCCATAAACAACTCTCACAGTTAATTGCACTGCGTCGTCCTCTTCTCAAAAGGATGTCTCCTTCATACACAGCTATTTCACTACCTGGCAGATGATGAAAATAAAAGAATATGCAAGGCACTGAGAAGGGAACTAGCCAAGCTTTTGTACCTTTGGAAATTTCTTTCACTGAAGTTCATTTCCCAGTAATCTGAAAAAAGATTAGCAAATTCAGACTGAGTGAATCTGTAGCATTCACAATATGCTAAGACTGGTTAGGCCGGCCTTGCTTCCTGGATAGAAAAGATTAATATTAATACAGATGTCATAGTGCACCTGTAATCAAAGTCATGACTAAATATATTTTAGCTTAAGAAGCTTTGGGAGCCTTCAGAGTGAAAGGCTAAGCATTGTACATCATTGTTCTCTTCATCAGAGCTTCTGGAATTAAAGAAAAATCATAACTGACCTCTGCAAAAATGGCATGAATCAAACAAAATAAATTACTATTTTTATCATACATATTGAATGCATGCAAGCTGTTAAATTGACATAAGACATTGTGACAGTTGTGACTCCAAAATACATAGAATACATGCCTCACAGACAAGACCTATTGGTTATTTATGCCAAAAATGTACAATAGTCTTGTGTACAGCAGACACAGAAGTACCTTATATCACAAAGGAAAGAAATCAAAGTGAAAAGTATTCTGATTTGCTGAGGCTACTGATGGAAAAGAACATTCCATGTAGCAATTGCTCAGTAAGTCTTCTTAATTTCTATATCATGACAGCATAAATAATCACACTGAATATGACTTTAAAACACATCTGAACTATGTGAATTGTTTTCCACTGATGCTGGAAAATATTTTCAAAGAAAAAAAATATACAGAATAATAAGAATGAGATATAGAGAAGCAGCCCCACCAAAACCTACAGTTATTTATATAATAATTACAATCAGACTCACCGAAGTCATTGTTTCTTGTAGCTATCTGCAAAAAGAAAAAACAAGTCTTTTAATACATGCTTATCTCCACAGCAGAAAGCTGCTATCATGTAGAATGACAGAAGTAAAAGTTTGTAAGTAATTTTAAGATAGTCAGAGCAACTCAGCATCAGCAGTGTAAATTCTCAACATCTGAGAGCAGGGACACACCTGGACAGGTTTACTTAGTGCAAAGCTATAGAGAAATGCTAAATGAGTTGGCAGAAGAAAGTACTTCATCTTCAAGTTTCCAAGATGATCTTCTCTGCTCTGCAGCTCAGTTCTCAAAGCTGTGGTTAGTTTACTTGGGGCAAGTTTTATGGGAAAGCTGCTGCTGTTGCTGTTAACAAGTGTAACAAAATTAGATAACAAAAAGTATTTCCACAAAACAAACAACCTCTCAAGAGAATTTCCAGGCTCTCATTTCTTATTTATCTTCAGAAAACAGAGGAAGTGGAGCAATAGGAAAGAAGATCCAGTAACTTTAAAGTGACTCATCTTTAATTCTAAGAAGAACGCACGAGCTGCTGCAGGTCCCCTCACTGCTGACCAAGGGGCAGGATATCCAGTACAAGTCTTAGAGCAAAACTCAGTGTCAAGGAACTCTTTGATCCATCCACATGGACTACCTGTCCTAGAAACTCCTTATCTTGCTGCCAGGAGTCACCCCACTCCGCAGAGCCTGTCTGTCAGCATGTCCCCTCTGTGCACAGCTTTCACCCAGGCATTGCTGGCCAGGAGTGCTGGAAATCTGTTGGAGCCAGAGATGAATCTGACTGTTGATTGAAATTTTTTTTTTCCAATACCATATCACTAACAGTGATTGTGTGTCTTTCTGGAGTCTACATAGAAATAAAACCCCCAGCTCCAAGAGTTTTGGCTTCCCATCTTCTGGGAAGCCCTCCTTTCTTTGATGTCCACAAATAGAAACAAGCCCAGAAAGGCAGGCTGAATCCTAGAAAACCCACAGTGTAAGAGTAAACTACACAATAGAAATATTTATGTTGAAGCCACATGAACCCCACCATAGGCAAGCAGATGTTGCTTTCTTCTCCCAACTTCAGCCCCTGCACAGGTACCTAGATGCTATAGAAAATACTAAGGATTTGCTGCATCAAATCTTTAAGAGACAAGCAAGAAAACCTTTGGAATTGCATGAAAAGGCAAAATACAGAGGAATCTATGTGGTTCACAGCAGATTGAGATGACAGACAGTGCCTTTCCAGATGCATGTATGGGCTGGTCCTTTGTTTTTAAGGAGTACTTTGCTAGGAAAATTTTAGCTGAAGTTATAAAGCTTTGCTACTTATGTTTTCATTTTACAGTATGGTTTGTTCCTAAACTTTCAAAAATATTACAGATTTCTGTGACTTCCACAATTCATCTACTGTTAGAATTTCCATGTAGATTATACTGTAGTAACAATGTACAGACATAAAGGACCCCTTTTGCTTTGACTGATAAGAGGATGAAGTTCAGAAGTCCTCATTAGTTTGTTACTCCATTAACCAGAGCAACCTCTGTTTCTGTTCAAGCTCAGGTTCAAAAGAGAGACAGAGGGAGTCACAGGAGCACATTTCTGCTGCTACACATCACAAAATGACAGGGGAGAGAGCAGAAGTTGCCAGTCAGTTAATCGGTTTAGAATAATTAAATCATTGACTTTGTTCAAGTGCAAAAAAAATGTTTTGGCTTTTGCAGAAAAGGTCAAAATCACAAAAATAAGATGGTCCCTGGTGCCTAGTCCTTACTTTGCCTCAGTTACCAGGCAGCAAAAGAAAACATTTCACAGAAAAGGTTACTATCAAGCATAATCTATGGTTGATACATAAACACTTGAACACTAATTTTAACAGAAGGAGTCGATTTTACTGTAGGTTAGAGTATCTTATGCCATAGCATATATTGACATATTTCCACATTTTACGTACGTTTTTATTTAAATGAAAGATATATTCTTTAAAAGAAAACCATTTCCAGTGTAAGTATTGAGATATGTTGACATTTGTTTGAAGACAATGTGTGTTTGGACTCTGATCCTCCTAAACTACTCCTGCAGCAGCGTGAGCTCTGCTATTTTACCATTTGATTTTACCCTTCCAGTGTCAAAACGATACCGTAACGTTAGAAAGGAGAGGCACAAGTCCAAAGACTCTACACTGGAGATAACTACAGGTGTCATTGAGCCTTAACCTGAGATGATGGCTAGAGACAAGAATCAGCTGAAACTGCTAAAACTAACTTGGTTTTATCTGCAGTAGTAGTAGGTTGAAGAGAAGTTTACTACAGTTTTTGAACTTGATGCATGAGGAAAGCTGGGTTCCTGGTGAGTATCTAAGTATCCAGATGGGACTGGCTGGTCTGTGGCTTCCCTGGTTTTGATAAAACCTAGTCTGAAAACAGCACAATCACTGTAATGTTAATGGTTTGTTCTGTTGTTCAGGCACGTAACAGAAGTCTTGATCTAATGCTGCTCTCTAGTGGTTTGCCATTTGTGCAAGTGGGACATGTTTCCAGAAATGGTCGGGAACTCCTCATCACCACTCTCAGCCTGTTCACTCCTTTGATCCTTGCCTGCACAGTACAGTCAGTAACAGCTTCCTGCAGAAAAAGCTTGCAAGCATGAAGAGTCTGTCCTGTAATCCATGCAAAGAAGTAATCGGTTTTAGCCCAAACCATCTCAAAACTTTGCTGTAGCATCTGCAGCTTGTTACTTCACTATTCACCTTCTCCAGATACTTAAATTACACATATAGATGCCACAACAGATTTGAGGTGCTCTGATGGCCAGTTAGGAAAATGAACCATTTACCTGTACCATCTTCCCTAAAGGATTTTTAAATCTCAGGATTTTTTTTTTTTTGTATGTCCTCCTGAAAGCTTTTGGAAAACTTATACTGCCAAACCCATATGTTCTTCTGGCTCTGTCCTAGTTCCACGTTTAACTTCACAACATAGGTTATTTACCCATTCCATGGTTTGTCTTGAAAGAGCATGAAGACAAATGGGCCAGAGGGGCGCAGCAAGGAAAGGGCTACTCCATACGGGGGGTTCCCTCGGGGCTGTGACTACAGGACAGTGTCACAGTACCTCAGCACAGCCTGCTGAGTCACGTCCAGAGCCCATCTAGAAGCTGAAGGCAGAGGCAAGACTAAAGACAAGGATACAACATAGATCCGGGGTCCATCAAGGAACCAAAGACCAGACTGAAGATATGCACCCATATAGCACAGCCCAAGCAGGGAGCAAAGGCTAAGGCCAGAGCTTAAACAGAGCCCTCAGGCCAATGGGCTGAGGCCATGGGTAGAGGCCACAGGTGAGACCAGTCAGAAGCCATTCAGGTCTGTGGGCACCCTCCATCCCTAAAAGTTGTAACATGTTGCAGAGCGGCCTTCCTCACTCCCTATATCCCAGTGTGGACAGTCCAGTGAACACAACTGCAGCTTAGATAACTATATCCACCGGATCACATACTAGATCATCACAGCCTTATCCAAAAATCTCTAGGAGATCGTATTTCAGGCTCTGTGAAAGCTATGTTGACTCAGCCCCAACGTATGATATTTATCCCTGAGTCTACTACTTCCATTTTTATTACGTATTTCTTCCAATGCTGGGTATGGAAGAAATACAATCACTCATCCTGGATCCTTTTTAAAAGTTTGATGGCACATTCCTGTAGCTCTGGCTGTGCGGTGATTTAAGCGGCACTTACCGAGCTCACTCAGCAGTTGAGCAGTTTCATACGTGAGCTGCCTCTGAACTCCTGGGCGAGTGTCATCTGCTCCTAGCAAGTTGTTACTGTTCACTGCACTGATTTGTACTAAAACCCTTTCTTCCAAGCAATGATATTTTCTCTGAGACATTCTTCCTCAACCTGAGATATTCTCAGATCAACCCCTGTAAGGAATGATCGGATCAGGAACATCACTGTCTTGCTCCATAGCACATGTCAACCAAGGGGATGCACAACTTTTCTGCAGTAACCTTATCTTCCCCTTTTATATCTTGCTTATATACCGATTCCATCATCTTTGATAGATTTCCAGTTTTTTTAGAAAAATGATCTTTTTACTTGTGTTATATGTTGCCACTTACCAGAATTTACACTGCTCTTTATTTTCACCATTCAGATATGACTTCCACTCTTTATTTCTGCTGCTCCCTGTGTCTAAGCATGATTGCTGTCTTTTTACAATGCCTAGTATGTATTTTATTTCTATTTCAGATAATGATATTTTCTTGCCATTTCCAAGTGTTTTCCTTTTAGTTGCTCCTTTTATTTAAGTTCTTTGCTTTCAGGGAGTCACACTTTTTAAAGTGTCATGTTACAACCATGCATTTTGCAGGTCTTTCTGTGCAACCAGAACTTGGACTTTGTACAAACACAGGAACATATATACATGTGCATATGTATTTCTACAGCAGCTTTCACACCAAGAAACCTGAAACCTTGCTAAGAAACAAAACTGGTTCCATACACAAGAGACCACTTCAAGATGAAACTTATTAATAGATAAGCATCAGGCAATTGGGCAAGAGCAAACATTTCTTTCATAAATCTGTCAGGGTGAAGCTTCAGAAATAGAATAGGTTCAATTTCTCTGTGTGTTTGTAGGGACAGCACATGCCTTGGGAATATATGCTGCTAGACTAAAAAGTGACATGAAAAATGAAAAAAGCAGGTAATAATGTTCGGTACTTTCTTAGCATGCCTCATTCAAAGGATTTTAAAAATATATTGAAATACTATACTGAAAAATGGGATGTTTAGCCACCTTTCATGAATAAAGAAATACAGATGCTGACTCATGAGAAAGTGTATCCAGGATCTCTCAGTAGCAGAATGAGAACTAGAAGGCAGGAATCCCATGTCGTCCCTCCTTGTGAGGATTGCTACACTTCCCTGACAAGTAGTGTTTGGCAAAGGAACAGAGCCTCCAGTCTTCAAGCGTCCTCTTGCAAGCACTTACAAAGCAGTTGGATGCTATTACCTCTGTTCTAGACAAGAAATTAAGGTCAGGTTTTCAAAGCTGATTAATGCTAAAGAGAAGCACCTTCAGCCACATTTAGGATTTGAAACAGGCATGCTAGTTCCCAGAAGTGCTTAATAACTGCAGTTTTCACACAGTTCAGGGATCCAGCTTTGAAAATGTTGTATTGAAGGAGATGTCTAGCTTTACATAGAGGAAGCTTTGTTAGTGTTTGTGGTTAATCTCTTTATACTTACTGATTAAGTCCTTTGCCTTTAATCCTAAGGACTGCAAGTAGTAGTTGCTGAGGTACTAGGTAGCATGTGGTTAACAGGAATCTCTTGCACAGAATTTTCCCATGTGATGGAAGAGTGTTGTGCCACTGTTTTAAGTCACTAAATAACTGTCATTTTAGTATTGAAAATTCTGAGTCAGAATACGGTATGTGCAGTGGTCTGTCAGCAGAAAACAAGCACTGTGGATACTTGATGGTGTAAGAGTTCATGAATAAAAAACTACAAGGACCTGTCAAGGCCACTTAGTCCAGCTTCTGCTGCTCCAGGTATTAATGTCATAGGTTAGCTTTTTAACTTAAAATTCACCACCTCTTCCCCATCACACCTCTGCTCTTGTTAGAATACTGTTCTGAAAGTGGATTTTGTTAATCATACAGGTACTAGTGATGGTATATTGAGAGTTCATGGGAGAAGCTGGGGTCCAAGGAATCATTGCTAATGACCAAAAATATCCTTTGAAGTAAAGATTTGTGATGAAGACGGATTGTAACAGGAAGCTCAGCTTGGAGTTAGGTGAGTAGCATATCATTACTACTAAAATAGCTGTATTGTGTTCACCACTGCTGACTTTTAGAGCACTGGTTTACCTGAGGCGATACAACTCTACAATCCTATAGTTCTACGGTGTTCTTTTCTGAAGTGAGAAAAATGTTTTGAGGGTACTGAGCTCTGAAGGACAGTGTTGAAAAGAGCAGTCTAGGTTGTCTTAGGCAAAACTTTTAGATTTTCAGTTAGAAAAAAATCAGCTTGTGAGGCCTTTTTTGTGGTCTCTAAATATTCTTATCTTCTACCTCCCACAGAAAAATTAGTCTGCTGAAATGGAGCAGAAGTGCCCAGAACAGAGAATAAAAGTCATAAATGGTCAAAGAGCAAAGTGATTTATGCTCTGCAAGAGGGATGCGTATTTTCAGGTGTGCTGGAGCAACGGGTCAACATGGAGACAGAAGTTTACTTGCCCCTTGGGAAAATGATAATGTTCTTTGCAAAAGCAGAGAAATTTAGGAGCTAGTATAACCATATTATCCTTCCTCAGTTTTGGGAAATGTATGTTTTCAACACTTTAAGACATGACATAACATACTAGGAGAGCTTTCATGAAAATAAGTATTTGAGGACCTAATTTTGTATCTCATCTGAAGTGGAGTTTCCAGCCAAAAGTACTTCAAACACCAAGCTGTGAGTATCAGCTGGTTATAATTCACAGGAGAAAAAGTGATATATTTAGTAATCAGCACAGTTTCTTCTATTTATCTTGACTATCTGAAAAACGATTTTACACAGGTTTATGTTTGCTTTTGAAACCTGATGGGTTTACGGCATGTACAGGAGATATACACATTATAACCTTAATCCTGGAGACTCTCAGGAGTTAGACATGTAGCAGTTTGACTGAGTTTGGTTTATCGCATTGCTGGGATTAGAGTTGCATTATCTCAGAAATTGCATTATCTCAGAAATCTCCAAACTGTGCCTTTTCAACTGCATATTGTTGATGAGCCATTTCAGAGCAGTTTCCGTGGCGGGGCCATGTCATGCAAGCAGCCCTATAGCCTGTGCTAGTACAGAAAAATAATCTCCAGCTGCATTCTGGCTTCAACATGCACATCTACTGCTACCTGATTTCCTAATAGGTTGGTGGGATTCTTGGAAAGACATTGCTCTCTGTAGTGCATTATCCATGCCCAGAATTCCTCTGCTTTGCCTCTCTGATGTTTATGAACAGCAGCTGTTTTCTAGGCTTTTTTTATCAGGGGAATAGATGAAGTAGGGGAAAAAAAATCATTTAACAGGCAAATCTGAGAAGCTGCTGTAGTATTGTAGTGCTGGTTGATATTTAAATCAGGCATTTTAGATCCCAACATTCTACAGGGTTAATAAAGTATTTCAGTTGGTCACTGTCTTTTACCTGGAGACTGAAAAGGGGCTGAAACAGCTATATAAGGGTACACGGCTGTCTCCATCAGCTGAAGAACTGGATACCTGGTGAACAGTAAAATCGAAGCAGGGGAAGGAGGAAGAGAAAAAGAAGGTTACAGAGTAAGAGTCTGTAGTGTGATTCGGGAAGGCTCTGCCAGCAGTGGGACTGCCACAGCATCTTTTGCAGTTCTGCTATGCAAAGTTATTACTTTTCTTGGATGCAGTGGAGAACTGAGACCTTACACCGTAAGCGTTTTGCTTTTTAAATAGTTCATATATTTTTCAACAGTTACTAGAATACTAGTATCTAACTTGCCCATGCTTTTATCTCCAGGGCAATGCTAATCCTGTCTCTGTGGTAGCTCTACAGCAGGTAAACCCAGGTCAACATTCTTCCTTCTAGAGCTATAATTACCAAGGCACAACCCATTGGTGGAGAATAATATGAAGGGTATGAAGACAAAAGTTTCCTTTCTTGGCAGTAATGGTCCTACCACATTTCACTAGGATTAGACAAAACTCTAATTGTACATGCTAATCCCCATATGCACGCATAAAAGCATAAGTACATGCATAAATGCAGAAGCACAGAGTTTTGCATATGGGCACTGTCTCTTGAAAGCACGTAAGCATACAAACATTAACAAATATTTGCTCTGCAAGGGATTTTTAAGAGTGTATAAGATCTGTAACAGGAATTTAAACAGTCTGTGCAAAATACTTCTGTGTATTTTTCTGGTGAGGATAAGGTAAGAAACTCCTTCCACCACCACCCCCCTAATCCACTGCTGTGAGTTGGGTCTGAGATGGAACGGGACTCCTGTCAAGACAGTGGTTATGTATTATATCATCAGCTCTGAAGAATTGTTGTCACCCACTTTGTGTGCAACTTCAATTAAATATTCATAAATATAAGAAAGCACATCCTTTGACTGATGTACTGCCAGGCATTTTTTTTTTATATGTGTGCCCCTGTCATTCCTGTTCATGGAGCACCTCCAGCTTATGGTTTAATTCACTGTGAATTATTCCCTTTTTCATGCAGCTTTTGCTCCAAGTCATTATCCGGGGGCCTCTGTTCCAACTAAAGTGAGACCAAGCACCTAGAGAATGAAAGAAGGTACTGTAGAGTTCATTTATCAACCAAAGATTGGAGCTGGCTCTAAACCTAGTCTATAAGAGGGGAGTCAGTCACCTACAGCAGCTATAGCAATATCTGTGTTGACCATAAACTGCAAAAGCTACATGTGGATTGTGTATTACACCAAATAAGGGAATGCACATCCCTGCTCCTCATTTAGTACTAGTCATTCTGGGATTACAAGTAGGTGGTTTGAAGTGTTCAACACCCTCTGGAACTAGAGGCCATTCCAGGTGCTGACATCTGCCCTAGCCTGCCATAATAGGCAGCGTGAACACAGACCTGCTTCTCTGGAAGCTGTCTGGGGTTTTTTAGAAAATTTTTGCCTAGTGATTGGACTTTCCCATCAACATTAATGTGAATTGTCAGCTGCTCTCAGTGGAAACTTGTTTTGAGCAGAAGCTGTTGAATGTAGGTAGTATTTAAAGCTACACAAAATGTGCCTGTGTGAGAAGTGAAGCATCTCTGCCAGTCACTGTATCAACACAGTGGTACTGACATTTCTCTTCTCTCTGTAGATTGCCAGGTAGTCTCTTCCTGCTTCACTAGGCAGTTCAACAACACTGTCACTGTTCCAGAGGGTGTGTTGGAACATTAATATGGGTCTAATGCAGGGCAGGGGATGCTTTGCAGATCAGTGGCCAGGTTGGAAAGATGACCTGGGAGAGTCAGGAAGAGGGCACTGTGTCAGGACAGGGGCATGTGGCTAAAGCTGCAGTGGACAAGCAGATCTAGAATTAGTTTACAGCCCCAGGTATACCTGTGGAGCTTAGAAGAGTTCACACAGTGCCCAGCAGAGAAACAAGCCACTGCTGTTAATCTCTCCTCTCTAGGAGTACTAATTTTTACACAACTAATTACTGATTAAAGAGTAATGAGATCAGTGCACTGGAACCTACCTGCCATTAGGTGAAATGCTTATGCAGTCCTTTCCTGTTGTGCAGGGCAAAGGATGTTATGCTGTGGGATGGCCCCACCAAGCCTAATACCTTTTTCCTAATGACCTGTGAGAAGAATCCAGAGAACACTGCTAACACTAAATGAATCTCCTCTTTTGATAGCAGGTACTTTAGGATATCAGTCTACTTTTGAAACACAGTTTGCATAAAGCCATGTGACTATGCTTAATCAAAATGCATATTTGCAAACGTTGACAAGCATCTTAAATGTAGTGGCAGACACCTCTGCAGGCAGGGCTCTCCATTGGGATGCAATTCCACCTAGCAGAACTGGGCTGTAAAACAAAAATCCTTGGAATCTCAGGGTGCCATCCCTTGATGCAGAAGGAGCTGAAGAGCTGGTTGCAGAAGCAGTAAAGCTACGGCTAATATCCCGAGTCTCTCTACTGCAGTGCCTCATGATGTTATTTGCCTCTGGTTCCCACTATTAACAGCAACCAGAGAGAAAGACACTCCAGTTAATAATTTATATATGTGCAGTACTGTTTAGCTCTTTAGTTGTGCACGGGCATCCCTACACAGAGACAGTGAGCAGAGCAGGGGCCTGAGATTCAGCATTTGAGGGGAGGGACAGATGAAAGGGGAAGATCAGTGTAGCCAGTATTCCTGGGGAATATCAGTGTACCATCCTTGGCTTCTTAACTGCTGGAAGGGTGGGTTCATTAGCAAGTCATGTTGGTTGGGCAGTAATGCCTGCTCAAGATATGCTATAGGGATGGTTCCAGAATCCAAACGCTACATGTGAGAGCAGCCACAATGAACTCCTGGAGTGAATGTCAAGAACAGTATTTGTAGATAAGACCAAAAGATGAAGGAGAAAATCACCTTTATCACTGCAGTATGTGGCCGGGAGATAAACTGGGAGATGGTTGTCTTTAGGAGGTCTTGAAAGGTTCCTGATCAACATGTGCAGGGTGGTATGAGTGATCTAAAACACTGGATACTGCATGTCTTATTTACATTTCACCTACCGTTGGCTGGAGGGCCTTGTTCTCCTTTACTGTGTCCACTATCCCTGTTCTAACAACTGGAAAAGGGATTTTTTGCTTCCTTCTCTTTTCCTCCTCTGTCTCATGGGACAGATTACTCACCTTTTCCCATCTGCAGCTGTGGGACAATTTAATTTAAAGGGATATATATATCTGCATGTGTGTGCAGTGGTGGCAAGATGTGAGAAAGAAGAGTGTTTCACAGGAAGAATAGGGGAAGGGAAAATTCCACCCACTCCAAAAGCAGCTCAGAAAGTTAGCAGAAGGTTAACCAGGCCAATATTTAATTAAGCCTTAACACTGTAAGGCTTATTTGTGATGGAATTTATGATGGAATAAAAGTCCATCTCAGTTCAGTGCCACTAATATTCTTGCTGGACAACAGATCCTGAGCTTGGAGGCTGCTAGTTGATTTCTAATCCCTGTTTTTATCAATGTTGAGAAGAAACTTTACTCTAGGGAAGGGAGATCACAAAATGGATGATAAATTCATTAAAGGATTTTGGC